CTGAAACAACTGCTACGATTAATAAAGATCAAGGATCTGCTTACTTATCGTTTGCATCTCATTTACATCCATCATTGGATTACTTAAGTCTTAACTTAATCAAACTCTATCACCGTCGCTGCTGGCCACAACGACGAACTTATTTCATCATCCAGATCTGACTTTTGTACCCAACATGGGTTAAACGCGCTATATAAATTGATAATCACTACAGGAGCGGCCGTGTCGTTGTAATACATGGTCGTAAACCGAAGTGATTGCCTCAAAACCCAGCAAACCTCGCTGGTATCATCGCAAAATATTCATTATAGGAGCCGCCGTGTCGTTGTAATACACGTCCGTAAACCGAAATATTCATTCAGAAACCCAACAAACAAATCGTTGGTCTCTACGCGATAACGTGTTCATTATAGGAGCGGCCGTGTCGATATAATACATGGTCGTAAACCGAAATGATCATCAGAAAACCCAACAAACGGATTGTTGGTCTTTACACAATAACGTGTTCATGCTTGGAGCGGGCGCGTCGATAGATGCTCGCCCGTAAACCAAGAAGTTCATCAGAAAACCTAACAACATAATCGTTGGTCATTATGCAATAACACGGCCGTTTTCAGAGCAGATGCATCAACCCGAACTCGCCCATAAATTGAAATGATCATCCTAATACCCAGCTAGCTTATCGCTGGTTCTAACAATAATGTAGCCAATCTTCAAAAATAGATCAATCAACAACAGCTTGCTGTCCATGACGACTCGCCGGCAAACCATAGACGGCGTCAAAGTCAGTAAATATAAACAAGTCATTGGCTTGTTAAATAAGCAGTCTGGCTCATCAGCGTCACGGACTAAAAACTTAGCAGCAAAACGGTCTATCCGAAAGACAAGAACGAGAATCGTAAAAGCTGCGTTCATAAATTCTATCTCAAAAACAATGACACATCCAAATAAAGGGATAAACACCATCCAAGCTGAATCAAGTGCTAAGTCTGAAATCAAAAATATGACAAAATGCTCAAACAACAAAAAACTAAAACGCGGTCTACTCAACATTGTCGACGATCTCAACGGCTTCCTCAGGACGAACTTCGGGCGCTGGGTCTGACAAATCCTCATCGCTTGACGAATCAGAAGAGCTCGAACCAGAGTCAGCACCTGACTCATCGGCATTTGCGTCCAGTTCCTTAACTCGATCTTCAATCGTACTAACAGGCGAATCTTTAAGGAACCCTTCAAGTTCGCGCACATGCTTAGCAAATATCTTATCTGCAAGCGATAGGCCCGCCTCCTGTTTTTTAAGGTCAACAAGCTCTTCACCAAGATTAGGCGCTTTGTCGCTCTGAAGCAAATTTATGAACTCAAAGTTACTTCGGACTTCAGCAAGATCAATTATGTCAAACCTCAGCTGGCCGTTGATCATTTTGATCTTCTCTGTTGCGCGATCGATCTTCGCCTCGTACTTCGTCGCCAGCTCGTGCTTCGCTTCTTCAACAGCCCACTGCACAAGTGCATCTTAAAGCTTGGCGGCAACATCTAGGTGGTTGGTTAGGTATGTAACTTCCTGCTTCAAGCGCTTCTTCTCGGCTTCTGATTCTGTAAATGTCCCATCCATCTCGCGATGCCTATGTTCGGTCTCCTTTGCGGCGACTTTGAGATCAGCGATGCGGTCTTCGACACTCCTTTTTTGTTTCTTAAAGCCATCACAAGCCTTCCGAACATTAGCAAGCTGACGAGTTTGCGAGCTTATTAAGCGAAGAAAGGAACTGCCAAACAAAGAAACAGATCACGGAAAACAAGATTAGAGGATCAAAAAGAAGAAAAAGGAAAATCGCTATTCAACAAAGAGTCGTCACAAGTCATACCGTCATGCAATGAAAAGCCATGCTTGAGTACGAGCTATTTTTCGACATCTCTCCTAGAGGGAGAAACTCAGTGCCTGGAAAGACAATCTTGGACAAATACAACGCCGTCTGTGCAACATCACCAAAGGACTCTTTCGAACCAGAGGAAAAGGTCTGGTCGGTCACCACGTGATCACGTCGAGAAGTCGTAGCGCGCTTCGATCTGTTCAGGTCCTCCCCATCAGCACTGCCTTTCTCTTTGTCTTCTCGGGAATGTTTGCGATTTGCCTCCATACCGTCATCTCTTCTCTTCACGTTATCATGACGCCTATACGATGACTCAGATCGACGATCGGTGATGACAGCAGAATTTCGCTCTAACTCAGGATGACGCGGCCTAGGTGCAAGGGTTCCAGTAGTGCCACCTCTGGGTCTTACGTCATCGGTCAAGGTTGCTCATACACTCTCGTGTTAGACTCTGTCTTGGCCTCGGCAGCTCTCTTCTCACGAGCAGACGGCTTTCTCGCATTGTCTGACATCTTTATTGACGAATTCAACGAAGTAACTCCAAAGCGACGAATAGGTAACTCAATTCGTCTCTCCGCTGCACCAAGAAGCAACGATCCAAGTCAGTTTTGCTCCTCAAAGCTTGTCTTGTTACCGAGTCGTCGAGTCACTGAGTCGCCGAGTAAAAAAAAAAAACCGAGTTGTCAACTCGCCATGTCTCGAATCACCATCTTCTTCTCCTATCTCGCCTTGCCGTCGCCTCCTCTCGATCTCACCGTGAAGCCCGATAACGCCACGTTCACCGGCGGAGGCTCTCTCTTCTCCACCATGAAATCCGATCTCGCGAACCATGACCCGTCCACCCCGCTCGAACCGTCGTGAGACTTCGCCTGAGTAACTCGATCCTCGTCGCGAACTATGTGAAGACCTCATCGCGAACCAAGTCTCGTTTCACCTCGCCAGAAAATTCGATCCTCGCCGCGAACCAAGTCTTGTTCATATCTTCGAAAATCACTTCGCCGATTCAATAGGTGGAGCCATGCCGATACGACGAACCAGAAGATGACGAGTTCGACGACGGTGAGTCGAGGGTAAAGTCAGCGCCGGCGGTGAAGGGGGGCAGTGGCGGCGGTTACACACGATCGAGG